GCATGTCGAAAAATCTAATTCTATTCTACAGCAGTTCTTCAATATCCCAAACTTACTTCTTTGTGAAGTAATTCCCACAAATAGGCTTTTGAACTTGTGTAGATTTTAAATCATAAGAAAACAAGACAAAATAAAAGAACCAAGGGAATGTTCATTAGAGACAGCTCATAGCACAAGTCAGGTTCATGACGTGCTGCTGCATTTCTGTTGCTTATAGCTGCACTTGAAGACAAGTGGCTCCTTTGAAATGTGAACGTGGAGTATAGATTAAGTAAAATGTTTCTGCAAAGAATGTGTCGCGTTTTGGGAAGTTTATGCACTCTTTGGTCGGGTGAGTAAGCAGGGCCTAACCCTGCTTAATGGTTAACTTAGTCGTATTGAAATCAGTGGGACTGTGCCCCTACATGGGCCTCTATGCCACTGTGAAGAGCTGTGTGATACAGCACTTTGTTTCAGGTGTTTGCTTTGTTCATAAATCTTATGTGTAATAGTATTTCTATGAGGAAAGCCGTGCTGTCTAGAGAAGGACCAAATACGAATTCTTTTTAAAGCTAGTAAATTAATTGTTTTCCTGAAGTGTTACAACCCCATATGGCAGTAAGATTATCTTCATAGGTGTATTGCAAATGAAATCTGTTTAGACTGCTTAGACTGACAGGGAAAAAAGGAGTATCAATGGCATGGTCTTAAGATGATGCCTTTTAAGAGCTGATCAGTTCAGCTCAGTTCAACAAACAGTACAAAAATTTAAAAAAGGAAAAGGCTAGTTACTAATGGCAATTTGATGTTTTCATCACCGATATGAAAAATACGTGTTTGAATATACGACAAGCCTTGCCAGATACACGTCCCTTGTGTAACTGCCATCAAAGAAAGCTTTTTTATATTCTTATAGGAGCAGCGCGAGTCTGAATCCCAGTCCCAGGAGCTGTATGTGCTTAAAGGTACCGTTCGAGGAGATCAGTGCAATGGAATGTGCAGATTTGGAGGACAGGACTTGACAGCCATTGTGTCCCCGTTAGGTAGTGCTCAAATTCAGACCAGTGAAGCTGTTTTACCAGTTAACTGACTTCGATAGCTCTTTTTAAGCACCTTCCAAGGAATATTTATAGCTTTCTGAAAGAGGCCTCCTGACCAGGTGAACAGCCTCTTGTCAACAGCCTCTTCTCCCTGAAACCCTGCCATTTAGTCTCTGTGACCACCCTCACTTCACAGCTGGCATCCACAGTCCCCAATTATTGCAGAACTTGCCAGCCAGAATCAGTGTTCTTTGTCTGAGTCCCAACCCCGACTGAGATTCTCAGTCCAAAGAATCTTACCTTCTTGTTTATGCAGCTCATCTAGGCTGACATCGGTCTCCTTCAAGGCAAGAAATATGCTTGCTTTGAGAGATGTGCATCAATTCTAACTACCGCTTTGTCTCTTTAATGTCACAGAAGTTCAAATATGAGGCTGATTTTATGCAATCAAGACTGTCTAGAACATTTTCATAACAGAGAGTTGTATCAAAACATCTAATTGCTCCATGAAAAATTGAAGAGACCAGTGCACTCTTGCTTTCCAGTCACAAGTGACCAGAAGGCCCTGAGACTCATAAAAAGTTTCTCAAAAAAAGCTTGGATAAATCTGACACGCTGGCAAAGTGTAGGCCTTTGCATATTAGAATGATTCCCAGGAGTCCCAAAGTGCTGCTTGTACATCAGTGAATTATGCCTTACAACATCAGAGTGTACCAGAATGAACATTACCTATTTACTTGTCTGATAGAAATGTACTTAAGTTCCGAACTGGATTCATATTTCAGAGGTCTCCAAGTTCAAGAGTTTTTATCACTAGGACTATATTTCAAGTTGATCTCTTTTCTTTATAAGGTTATGCTATTTTCATCATTAATATCCCCTCTCCCTGAAAAGTGTACATCTTCATAGTGTAATCCAGCATTTCCATTGTACATTTTCATTAGTTGCCTGCATTTTCTATTTACTAGTAAATGGATTTCTGAGTTACTGCAAAATTTTTAATGATGAAATTTCAGATTCTCTCACCTCTTTTCCATGGCAGCTCTGAACATCTTAGTTGTTTCAGTTTTTACCTGTTCTTGAAGCACAGGCAAAATGACCTCTGTTTTAGTGGTTTTATTTTCACTGAAAGTCCTTGTAATTTCTGAAGATTCGAGGGAGTTGGGAAATGTATTTGTGTTAGACACAACAAGGGTATTTATTATTAAAGGAATCTCTAAGCTCAGCAATATTGTAACTGATTAAACAGCATTGTGTGTCTCAGCAAGAATTAGCGTCTATAAACTGTAGGTGTAGGTATCCTTCATTTCTATCTGCCATTCCTACTTGAACGCAATTCTGCCAAATGCAGTATAGTACTTGGAAAAAAATGTGTATACACTTACGTCTACCTATGGGCAATAAAACAGATGTACGGGATCAGAACATAGGATTATGACCTAATCAAAATGGTCAGCAGGCAAATATAAATGAGGTATTCTTGGTGTAACCTTGTGTTTGCAGCATTGCTTTCAGCAATGGCACAATCTTACGGTTTTGGGGGGTTCTGTCTGGAATAATCTAGGTCAACTACATTTTGTAGGAAAAAAAGGGGGGAAAAAGCTTGATTGTCAGTGCTATTCTGCCCGAAATTTTGTCTTGTAGAATATTTGAGCAATGTGTTTGAGGTAAAGATACGTTCATTCAATTTTTGTTAGTGGCTGGTTGGTGTTTGATTCTACCTTCGCTGAACTCAGATCAAGAAATGGAGAAGCCTTGATGCTTGCTTTCATGAGTTCAGCTTGAGGCTTGAGTCACCAAAAAGCTAGCTAGATATCTGTGATGCATATTTAGTATTGCTGAAGTGAAAACAGCTAATCAGTTGAACAGTTCAAAGCAGATATTTTGCTACCGGGTATTATTAATCACAACTGAGTTGTGCATTTTTCTATTTAAGAAGCTCTCTATCAAAATGCATTTCATCCAGTTAGCTAGCATGCTTTGTTTCGTTCCTTTGGGTGTCGTAGTTGTATATTTTACTTGTAAATGGCTCAATAGTTGAACAGATGAGACCTGTGCTTGGGGAGCCCTGCCCAGTCAGCTTACAGATTTGGAATTAATGTTTTCATACAAATTTCATAGGTGGTACTTGTGCATCTCAGTAATTCCCTGTACCTCAAGCTGGTGATTTTCTTCCATGTATGAGCTTTGGTTTTAGAAGCACAGTAGATAATAACCTTAAATGTTTCATTTACTATAAATATTTAATAATTGCAAATGATTGATGACTAGATTTTTAAGCAAACTTGATAGAGTTGTGTGAAATTAAGACTACCTTTGTATAATTGTCTAAGCTGTATGCTAAATATTATATGGGCTTTGTTGTGCTATCAACATGCATGCCTGATTGGTATTTTCATTAAAAAGATTAGCACATGGGTAACAAACAGAAAAGTACACTTTTTATAGTCGTATTGGCAATAAAATTAATCTGGATGGGCTTCCTTGTAGATACAAGAATTTCTGTATCTGCCAATTTTCATTCCATTGTAAGACATGCCTTCTTTATGGATGATTGTAAAGATGTTTTTTCAAGAGAATGTCTTTTTTTATAACACAGCACGAATATCTGGCTGTGTTTCAGTAACTACTTTCACCTATTTTTCTTTCAATTTCTTCTTATTGCCTTTGATCTCCCCGGGCTTTGAAGCCAAAAAAAAACCCACATAATGCTTGTCTAATTATCAGGGCTCTTGCAGCTCTAAAAGATTTCATTAACAATGCTGCTTTCTGATTCATGCAACCAGCTGAGGGTCTGTGTACCTCTCTGCAGATGTTTTTGGATGTCTCACAGATCAGTGCAGAATCACCTTGCCAATAGGTGCCAGTGTTGCTCTGCACACACAGCTGAATTGTCAATGTCCTTCAGTTGAAAATCCAACCTTGAAAAAGCAAACCTAAATCACAGTGACTAAAATGTTGCAGAGGTAAAACTCTGTACAGACCACAGCCAGAGGCTTGTCCATGCCAAGACTAAGGTATATGCTTTATCTTGTTCCTAAAAATAATTATATTATTGCTAATCTTGAGCAAAATTGATGAAGAGGTAAGTATGCATTGAATTAATTCTAGATATATTTACTCTAAGCCTTTAACGTGCTGCAAGTTTATTGTTGAGCCTCAGACCAATAGCAGCTGAACCTTGCAGATATCTCCTCTGGACCAAATGTGATTTAAATGCAGAAGTTGCACATCAGTGCAATAAGAATTTGGCCTTCTGTCAGCACTCTTTACGTAGGTCGTTCACATACTTTCACAACTGAGTAAACCATCAGGGTGGCCTATCCTGCAGCATAAAGGCCACCTACAGCTATTTCTTCTAGGTTTACTCTTTGGTAATGTAAGGTCAGCTGATGCAGTTCACTTTGCAGCTTATCTACTGTTAAGTGCCATTCAGTATGTAAAGCCAAGGGCAATCAAGGTCTGCTTGCTTACTGCATTGGGAGAAACGTTGGTTCACCTTGTCCTTAGGTATGCAGCCATTTCATATGTTTATTTTATTCTTGGATGTTTCAGACATATTATGGAATAACCCAAGTTTCTTGTCTCCGTTTTCTTCAAAGAAATGTATAGCAAGCTGTGAAAAATGAAAAAACAACTAAGGACAAAGCAATTAAGAGATTTATATCCTTTCAGGTTCAACCCCACTCTGTTGTGGTTTTTTTTTCTTACTGCAACTGTTCATTGAATAGAAACTAACAGATGAAAATTTTGTTTTCAGTGATTTAATATATCTTCTGAAATATTCCCAGCCATCTGCAGGTCAGAATGTAACCCAGCAATTTGTTCTAACTAGTAAACAGCCCTCTGCCTATATAACCTAATTCTCATTCCTTCTGCGTGGAACAGATCACTCTTGCATATATGAGCAACAAGCTATATTAAGTAGTACTTAAGATCACCCTAAGCAGTTTACACAGAGGCATCCCTTGCTTTTCTGTCTCACACCAGTTGGCCAATGGCTTGCAGATATTTCTGACACCCTTCATAGGCCAGGATTCTACTGTCGTTTTGGGGAAGATGTCCCTGGCTGGAAGGGAGGTCATGAGTTTTAGCAGGTTGTCTCAGTTGACAAGTAGCAAAAGCAGAAATCGGTGGGCTTTCATAGGAAATGGTGTAGACACTGTTCATCACTCCAGCTTCTTTCTTGTGCCATTTTTTCATCAGGTGCTCAAGAAGACCATAGTTTGTGGGTGGCTCTGAGACAGGAAATGATTAAATGTTAAAAATGATAGAATTAAATTTTTGGTCCTGGTGTTTTTACTCCACAGTTGTCATAGGGAATATTTGTACTATTTTGACAGCAGATTAAGGACAAAACAGATCTTTTTGTTCCCAGGGCATGTATGTCTACCCTCTGGCTGGAAGGGAAAATCACTGTCCTATATCAATAGGACAGCAGTAATGGTGTAAATGTAAGGAGTCCTAATTCTTTATAGTCTCTCTGGTAGATATTAAAAAAGTCAGCAGAGCTGTACATGTCACTTAAATTCGGAAACATAATAATACCCCGTGAATTCTCCTGCTAGTTGTATCTCACAGCTCTCCTTGGTTTTAGCTGGTGTCTTGCATTATTGCATTGGGGCAAGAAATCTGTTCATTGACATTATCCTTTGCTGCTTCCTGTGGTGATTATTATTGTATGGATAACATTTCCACTTTATCAATCAGAAAAATAAGCTACTGACTTGGTAAGAAACTAGCCAAAAGTCACCACAAGATCCATTTTCAGAATTAAAACAGAAGGCTGTTCCTGGCCCTAAGTCTACATATTGACCACTGCACCATGTTCCATCTGTTTAAATTAATAATGCCAAAAACTACCAAGAATGGGGAAATCTGTTTTCTGAGGAATCCAGGCAAACTTGCGTCCATTCCAGCTGCGGAGGGGAGGCAGCACAGGGTTGTAACCGTGTCTATTGTATTTATCGTCATACTCCGATACTAAATTTCGGCTTCTTGGTTCCTCATGATGGGTGAATAAGTGCTGTATTGGCAGGCCCTGAAATGAGATGTACGTGAAACCATGCCATTTGTCTTTGTACATAGTATTCAGATGGCTTAGTGTGCTTTTGAGTCAGACTGTACTACCAGTGATATCACAAAGTTTTGTCAGTACTTATATTACTTAGAATTTAATCCCTGAAAATAAGGGCATTTGCATTTAAAGTAAAGTAAATTTCCAGTTAAATTAAGCAACTACATCTGTATGTCATGAGATCTGATTAGTCTGATTTCAACACATGCATCACAGATTTGCAGATACATTTAAGAAGCTTGCAAATGAAAAGCTGATTGTCTTGTGCTGCTTAAGTGTTTCATTGTGCACTAGCATTACACATACTGCTTTCCAACTGTCTGTCAGGAGAGAATGATAAGAATATCTTAGGGTGGAGAGGCACCTTGGAGGAAGGGACATTCTAGCAGATAATACTTGTGGGAAAAGTATTGTGAAAGATCTGGGACTCATTTAAGTGCAGTTTGTTCCTATGTATCAGAGGCGTGCTGATGGAAATAATCCTCTTTTACCAGCAAGCTCATATTATAGCCCACGGAATGTCCTGAAGACACAAATACCCCATCCTAGCTGACAGTAACATGCTGATTTTCTCCATGTGCCCCGGTCACCCTCTGAGGCAGAGACTGGGGAACGACCAGAGTACCAAGAAGCATGTGCCGTTTGTCTACCTCTGAAAGGCATCCTACTTTAATCAAACATACAAGGGAGATCTGGATCCTGTAAACTGGCCACGAAGCTGCAGTGCCTTCTTTTAGGCATATAGTTGTTTAAGGATATAAAATATGATTTAAGTATTAGTTAAAGATCATTGCTGTTTCAAATGTTGGCACACGCAGCCCTACATTTGAAATTTCTTACCTCAAATTTTTCCATCATGGTTCTTCTTAGTGTTTGGTCTGGTTTGTGATCCGGGAAGCAAATGAAGTCTGTTCTGTATATGCTGCTGCCGAGTTTCCCAATGTCTTTTATAAACTAGAGAGATACACAACACTCAGTATAGCTAAGGCAATCTGATAATTACAGAAGTTCTGTTCCAGTGCTGCCTTCTTCATCTATGCATTTAAAAAGCACTTATTTCGAAAGAAGTCTGTGCTATGTACTTTTTCTCAGATGGTAAAGTCAGCTGGTATAATCACCATTGTAAAATTCTGGCTTGATTCCTTGGTGTAAATATAAGATACTGTACAGCCCTTGAAAAATTATTCATGGTGTGGTGTTAAATATTTTCACCTGCCATGTGAACTATCATCTGAAAAGGGCAAATGAACCCTTTTTTTGTTTTTTGTCCCTTTGTTCCTACTTCTGCCACAGCAGGCCAGTCTCTGCAATATAGGCAAGTATTTTGCTCCAGAAAAAAGAAAAAAGTCTAAAGGAAGTAATTTTAGCAGAGTCAGGAGGATTTGCCCTAACAGCTCCAATATTGAACCTAAGTGGCACATTTTGACAAAGTTAAATGTCTCATGATAAAATTTTGCTCAGCTCTTAAGCAGGGCATGCAATCTATCACTGCTGTTGTTTATACAAGCAAATGAAACCGATATCCAAATTATTTGAGATCCTCTGATGCAAGTAATAAGAAGTATTAACTTACAGAAGGGTTAATGAAGCCTCTCCTGTATAATGTTGGTGTATATTATTAAGTTGTATATATTGCTGTTGTATAGTTGTACGTAAGTTGTAGAGCAGTCTGAAGTGATTGCCATGAAAAGTGCTACAGGATTTTTAATTGGCTAATGTTATGTCTGGTGTGAACCACACAGTATAACCCATGCTCAGGCATTGCTTCTGTCCTGGCTTAGAGAGAAGAATGGCAGATCATAAACAAAATTAATTAATGCAGGCCAGGCAAGACGCTTATCTTTCTCCCTTTTATTACTCTTCTGAGATGAGCCTGGACTCTAGCTTACGACTGCAGTAGTATACCACCTCCACAGCATTGGTTCTGACCCCCTCTATTCCTGCTCTCACACTTCCTTCCTGATCTTACCCTTTTCCTCTCATCCAGCCAGTTTCCAATGAGAACTTTACTAGAGTATTTCGGTTCAATTTTCCACCAATCCTGTCCATCTTTTTGCGATGCAATCATATTTCTTTGTCTCACCAGCGCTACCCTCCCCAGTTGTTGGAACTGTCAAGTTCTGCGGGTGAAAGATTACTCAGCAGTCCAGTGCTAAAACTAGGGCAGAAAGGGGCTCCACTTCTGCCTGCCTGTGTGCTGAGAAACGTGGGTGATGTGTGGAACTGCTTGGCCATAGAACCATTTGTGTTTGCTATCCCCACGGTGACTGTCGTTCCAGTAACCACATTCTAGGCCGCATCATATTTACTGTTGAGCAAAACAGTGGCTCCTAACCCACTGAAGTCAGCTAGGTTTTTTTCTCTAATAAAGTTCAGAATCAGAGCACAGAGTATGTCTCAAAACATTGTGATGTAAGTGACATACTCCTCTATACCAGCACACCACACATACCTGCACAACACACAGTCTCTCATCATAGACAGTCTCTCATCATATCACATTTTATTTTAAACAAGTGGGACAAACCAGGATGTCCATTCAAAATAATGTTCTTCTTTATTGACAGAGCTAAAGATAAGGGCTTGCAGCATGGTACAAGCTTGTATAAGGTTTGCATATTCCATGTTCCAACTAATAGCTGGAATGAGGTTCTGATGAGCCTTGTTTATCATTGTTAATGGCTGCCCTTGATTGACTACCCATCACCTGATATTAAATATCCTAAAAAGATATTTTCCTAGGTTGAGGCATGAACAGACTCGTGGAATCTAAGATGTTTACTATAAGCTTTTTAGGAAGTTAACTACGCTGTCCAATCCCCTTTTTCCAGCTGGAAATGAGAAACCACAATAATCATATAGGCTTATGATTCCATGGAATCCATCCTCAAGGTGGTACCAGGTCACTCGAACACCGTTGTCCTCCAGTCTCTTCTTGTAAAGCAAGCCGTCGTCTCTTAGCACATCATACTCACAAGTCAAGATGAAAGACTCGGGCAGCTGGTGAATAACAGCATCTTCAGCTAACAGTGGACACGGGTCGGGCTCACAAAGTCTTTTCACTGTCTCATAAACTTCAGCCTTGAATTCGTGGGGCTTGTGTGGTTTGTAGCCTCTGACCTTAAATTTTTCAGGGATGTTATCTGGACTCACCCACTTCCTGTACTTCAGCCTCATATCTGGAGGAATGTGAGAGCCCTCCAAGACCTCTTGCATACGCAATGCATCCCCATTTAGGTACTGCAAAGCAAAGAAGGCGGCACGTTCTCGGAATAAGAGAGGGACTCCCCGATTCTGTTGATAGGATGGTAAATTGAAGTCCAGTGCCTGAAGGCCCGGGTAGATCAAGATCTGAGCGCGTAGTCTGGGGAGGTCTGATCTACCTGCAAGGGTCTGCTGAACAGCAGCTGCCAGATTGCCGCCAGCACTGTCCCCGCAGACAATTACATTGGCAGGATCCACCCCATAGTGCTCTATATTCTTCATGAAGTGTATGGTGGCATTAAGACAGTCTTCATACGCAGCGGGGTATTTGTGTTCAGGAGCTAAACGATACCTAGTACACAGGAAGAGACAAGTATAAGAGAAGGAAATGTCATTAGTATTAATCAGGAAATGGTATCGTATGCTGCCTTCCAGCCCTATGATTTCGGGGTGATTTTCCTCCAGGTCAGGATATTCATTACCTCCTAAGCAGGCATTCCTCAGTTAGTGATTGTGGATAAGCTGCAAACTGTGTATTCCATCACAAGGACTCAGTAAAGTAGGATTGTCTTCTGATTAAGAGTCTGACTGAGACTTTGTACATTTCTCAGTCATGCTGAAAACTCCCTGTGTATTCTTGACAAGATAATTTAATAATTTTGTGCCTCTGCTTCCTGTGTCTAAAATGGGAGTAATACAGTGTGATGATTCTTTTTCTAGAAATCACAATTTTTTGGAGCATCTTATTACATGTTCATATGTTCAGCACAAGGAAGACATTTTACCTAAGTTTTTGATTGGCTTTTATAGATTTTCTTAGTGTGCCAAATATTTCCATTTGGGTCTTTTCTGAGTATATCAGGGCATGAACAGTTAAAAGCTGTGAAATCCCCGTTATCATTATTTGTCTCTTTATGGACTTCACTGAATTCTATAGAAATTTCTCTGCAAAAAAGAACATCTCCAAAACCAGTGCAGCTCTGCTGCGGCACCACAGCAACAATAATCTCCCAACAATAGAACTGGGTAGGGTTCACTTACTGAACAGATACAACTACCGATTCACTTTCTCTGGATATGTAGCGGCATACTTTTTCATAGGTATCTGGAAAATAAATATTTTCATTAGTGCTTTGCTATTGCCCTAATCTTTGAGACAGCTAGGGAATGTTCATTCCAGAAAGGCATGCATTTGTCTTCAGACTTCCTCCCAAATCACACGCTGAAACCTCCTTTTATTTCAGTGTTATAAAAAGATGAGAATGTTCTTTCTACATTAGAATCATAGAATCGTAGAATCATTAAGGTTGGAAAAGACCTCTAAGATCATCGAGTCCAACCATCAACCCAAGACCACCATGCCCACTAAACCATGTCCCTAAGAGCCTCATCTACACGTCTTTTAAATACCTCCAGGGATGGTGACTCCACCACTTCCCTGGGCAGCCTGTTCCAATGTTTAACCACTCTTTCAGTAAAGACATTTATTATAGTAAATTGCATTACTATAATTCCTCCTGCAAATATCTTACCAAGACTTCCAAATACCCAGCCTCCTCCATGAAAGAAGATGATACCTCTCCTTCGCCCATCAGAGGTAGCTTTAGGCTGATAAACCCTCACAGGTACTTTGTTAAACTGCAGATCCCGGATAAAGAGCTTTGGATCCACCCCTAGTTTCCGTCCTTGTCGCACGTATCGGCCAAAAGTGATTTGACTGCAAAGTCCAGTCTTCTCCAAAATCTTTCCCTGTTAAAGGTAAAAGAAATTAAGGCTTCTTGAAAAGTCTTGAGTTAGCCAAGGTATAAAAACTCTGCATCATACTTACACTGAACTGCATTTGAGGGAAATTTTAAAGAAACACAGAGCTTGTGTCCCCCCCTCCATGTTGTAATGTTGTAAAATATGAATACACTATAAGAAGATATAATAATAACAGCACAAGAAATTAGAATAACTACCGTGAGGACTGTTCAAAGGGGAGGATAATGGATATGCAAGCACCTCCCAAACACTCTCTAAAAGGCTTCTTGTATACTAAGTACTGATAGGAGAGTTCATTCTAATTGGTTGGTTGGTCCTTGGTTTTTGCCTTAATAAACCTGGGGAAAACAGTGAGGAAAAGTAACTCCACAGCTGGTTTTCTTGATAGGAATGTCCAGTCCTAAGAAAGTAAGAGATCCCAGGAAAGAGTCAGCAAACAGTATTTGTTTTAAGTTTGCCTAGATTAGTTTTACCAAAAAGGACAAGTTCTACCTTTCATCACACAAGCTGGAATCTGAAGAATCAGACTGATAAATTTAGGCTTCACATAGAGCAATTTGATCCCTGTTGTCTGATAAAAATAGAGCTCTCTGATTCAAGAAAAATATTTTTCCCAAGTTCTCACATCCTACAGACTGTAAAAAATTTACTTCCATTACTCAAATCCAGTGTCATTCTAATATCACATCAGAAATTTTATATAGGCCACCCAAATTGGCTGTTGTCCTGCACAGCTTTGTGCTCATTCTTGTTTCATTCATACTTGATAACAACCATGAAATGTCGTATACAGAAACAGCAATAAAAGCTTTAATAGTTCTTCATTGTATAAACTAATATTCCTGAATTAGACCATAGAACTCAGTGAATTTCCAAATCTTCAGTGCTGAGTTGTATTGTGCAAGTTAGTTACTGCTTTTTATTTGCACAACAGATTTACTGAGCAAAATCAAGAAGCTTCCTTTCCCAATGCTCTTGCAATGATCTTGCAAGCTAGAATATAAATCTGATGTAATAAGTGAACAAACAAGAAGTTGGGAACCAAGTTAATTAATGGAATCAAACAAATAAACTGTTACGGTTCAGTTACTAAACAACATCCCAATTTTAAATGCCCAGTGAGAGTCTGTCTTTATCCATTCCCTTGTTGTCACGGGCTAGTGGGATTCAGGAGAGCTGGGTAGCTTTGTCAGTAAATTTTAAGAGGATGTAAATGGTTTAAGAAACAGTGTGGAGGAAAACAAGGTCTGTGCGATAGCAAAGGCGATGTTGTGGCTAAAGGAGCGAAGGAGAAAACTAAGTTTTAAAAAAATTAAAAGATACAGCAAGTGACAGAGGAAGAGTTTAGGAGAGCTCTAATGCTGTTTATGCAATGCTGTAAAGGGAGTCCAGGGATTAAGTAAAGCGGCCCTAACCGGATTTTGTACCATAAATGTCAGCCGTGGCAGGAGCAGTTGAAGGGTTGTAGTTGTCCCTGTGCAAGGTGACTTCGCCTAAAGCTGAGGGCAGTTATCAGCTAAAACACCAGCTCAGCTCTGAATTCGAGACTTAAATCAACACCGCCGTTTGGCAAACTCTGCTAACAAGCCCTAGCATGCTACTTCTGAACGTGAAATGGGTTTTGCCCGTGACACGAGCAGCGTCCCCACTGCGGGTGCTCCTCCGCAGCGCTCTCCCCTTGATGTGGAGCCGCAGGCATCACATGAGGGCGGCGGGGGCACGCGGATCTTAATCCAGGCTCCTTCTGTTTTTTGCTTCCCCAGCGCAGTCCGTGGGCCGGGGCTTGCCCGGGCCGCCCCGGCTTTCGTGCAACCCTTAGGCGGGG